AGCATTTCACTTTATTCATTATCGTCCATTTCCACGAAGAACTGGATGGAGTACTCAAAGTATTGTTCCGTCAAGTTGTAAATATCATTTAAACTCATTTTAATTTATGTTTTTGCAATTTAAAAGGACATTCACACCAATTTAACTTAATTATCCAATAATTTCAGTCCAGCTAAGTATTAATATAGCGCTTAGAATATGATGCTTACAATGGAAATCAATCGTAGTCAAGAATGGTTCGTTGGGATAAAAATGGTCCTCTTAAAACACTTTATACTTGGTTTGGTTTTTATAGGACAAATGGCTGAACGCTTCCTGACAGTTCTTTTATGGGAAACTGGCCCCTATTAGATGTTACAAATGTGAATAAAACCCAAAAACTCCACGTGGTCAGCCTATTGCTATAGCGCGAAGCCAAAACCAACTGCCAATGTTTAGTGGTTTTATACAGTAGTGGGCCTTCATACGAGAAAAAGCAAGGTGAGGCTGGAAGTGTAAGAAGTTGAAAGAATTGGATCAATAACGAATGACAGAGAAGCTGTTAGCCTGATATCGTGTGCGCATTTTATACGGCATTCCCATTGGAGTAACACAAATAATTAACAGCAGAATTATAATTAAAATATTCTTCATTAATAATGTAAAAATTTCTTTGAGCTTTAAATTGCAATATAAGTCATGATGCAACTCTCAGATTATTAATTTTAACAAAGCATGTAAATACAGGACAAAGTTGAGTTCGAGAGTGTCTCGCATCTTCAAAACACCGAAAAACGAAGAAATCTTTTCAATATTAATATACATATATAGAAATAATGATGATAAAGCACAGATTGTGATGTGATGTATCGCTTCCATCATTAAAAATCGATGATGAAAGTGATCCATGAAGGTTCTAGTTAATAAAATAATGGATCACAAAATTCATTCAATTGTACCGCTTTAGTCACTAGAATCCTGGACAGATGGCTTAACATTAGGGAGACCCAGGATCAATCTGGGTGGCCTAAGAATGTTTTCGTGGACGGTTTCTCCCGGATATAAAGCCACGATATGTATGGGTTAAATTAGTTTTTCTATCTCCATAATTAAATATATCAGTTATTAACCAAAGTAGCTCCAATGTGGGCCTGACTGAACCCATAACGGGTTTCATAAAAGGCCCTCTTAGGGACCACAGTTTAGTAAAAACAAGAAATTTAAAAACAAAGTAGAAAATTAAGTCTAAATTAAAATTTCAAAGAATTATTACTTGATGATGATTATGATGAAAGCCTACTTTAATTGTTACTTAATAATGTAGCCTATTATTTTTATTAAATACATAAGTTAAAAATCTTGTCGTTGTCATAAAAATATAATTAGGCATTATCATATTATATTACCCATTAAATTAAGGTAGCTATATAAGGACGATGCCCTAAATATGTCTATTCAGTATTATAGTTTATATATATTGAAGGGAATTTTCAGAACTTATACAAAATTTGCAGTGAAACCCGTAATTCATGCCCTTATTCTGTCCTTTTGCAGGGCACTCGTGTTTTTTTTTTTATACATATTGTGCTGAGGGAAAATACGCGCTTTTGTCTTTAAATTGCAATTTCTATCCAAAAAATAAATTCACCAAACATATAAACGTCAGTCGAGAAGTCTTTTGCGATGGAAAATGGTGTCAGAATTTAAATTTGGGCTAAAAATATCGAAAGAACATTTACCGCCCTCTGTTGATAAAAAATTCAACTAGTGATGTTTTAAAATTTAACACTAAAAAATGTCTTTTATAGAAATATACAGAGAGAAAAAAATTGTTTACATTTAATTTTAAAAAGTTGATAAATTTTTAATCGCCTCTTTTAGCAAAATAACAGCGCAGGTACGCACAATTTCCAATCTGTATGTTAAAGTAACTGAATCACGCAACACGGCAAAAATAGGTCAAAGAACACACTGGATTTAATATTCACCAATAACTCGGTAGAGAGAGAAAAAAAATCACTGCAGCCACTTCTAATTGTTTCTCGTGTTATTAAAATCGCGGCAAGGATGCATAAAACGTTTTATCGATCGGTAAAGTTACCAGTTTTCCGTCCACATCATTTATCGATTCGATTTGGAACTTTTCCAAACCACGTGATTACGGAGTGACGTAGATAATCGAGTCGCAATTTTAACGGTCGTTTTTTATTCTTGTGACTACTACTGACGGCGCTACAGTCGATTTATAAATTCAAATTGGATTCTGGTGTTATCGTCTCGTCTTTGGTTATCTTTTTTATGAATGGTCACTTTTTTATTTCATTGGGCTGCAATTTGAAAAAATTGTAACCTATAAATTCCCAATGTCGTCCGTCCGTCCGTCTTTCCTTAATCTCGAGAACGGAGTTACTCGTAGATAGATTAAATTAAAGACGAGCCCCCCGATTTTTACATTTTTGTACTCAGGGACCTTGGAACGTCGAGAAATACCAAAAAAATTGGGTTTATTCTATATATATATATATATATATTGATGTTAGTGTGTGGGGGGACCACGATGTTGTTCACTCAATTTGAAGCTTAACTCCTGTGCTTTTAGTCGAAAATTTTTTAAATTTGGCAGGGAGGTCTGTATATTTATTAGGAGAATTGATGCTATTCAATTCCCCTAATGTTTTTTCTCCCAGTATTTCTTCTCGTGATTAATGCACGTGTTCTTTGCCTTAAAACTTTCCAATTGCTGTCATAAAACCAGCAAAACTTATTGTGATTCATTGGTTAATTAAACATATATTTCGCAACCTATCATACATGTATTCTGAACTTTAGCTATTGTGATGTGGGGCTACAAATGAAGAATTCGATACGCTCAATAATAGTTTTAATTGTTATTGATATGTTAACGTATCCTGAAGATAATTACAGTACAATTGTGAATTGGCTTTCATTTTAAACGTAGTAGTTTCTAAAATAACAAACCGGAATTACAACTGCAATTTGCATGATTTTTTTTTTGTTTTATATCAGGAAAATTTAAATTGCAATTGTTCAATTCGGACATGCACACAAACGTGGAGAAATGCAAGTCTGTCAGACGGAATTTATAGTTAAACTGGGTGATGTTTTCCGCGATTATTGATGTTTATAGGTTAGAAAGAAACCAAACAAATGCGTCAAAACTATGGAGGAGGAGGATAGAAGGGCAATTCGATATTTGTACAGTTAAACTTTACTGTACGTCCACTCAATAATTACACACAAGAAAAAAATGTCTAATACAAAAAGTACATGGAAATTTGATATTTATAAAATGCCAAGCAATTTAGCTGCAAGACAGCCGACATTTTAAGTATAAAAATTACACTGCAAAGTGTAGCCATTTTACATTCGACTGTTTCCACTGTAATCCTGCTTATAGTCCTTGTGATTATACCGTAAACGTTATAATTGCAGCATATATCAGTGACTTTTACCTAAGTCATCATTTCGTCTAGATTTATCTACGCCATCTTAATTACGAAACAAAGGTTCTTCGTGTTTAATCTTCGTCCAGAACTACAGGACATATATATATTAGCATACAACCTAATTACAATGTGTATTAAACGTCAATCTGACGTCACTTCATGATTTTAAACAAAGAGCTAGTATAGAAATGTCGTCACATTGACGTCAGTGTGTATGCATAAGCGAAAACAAATGGAATTATCTTGAATACAAGTAGTATAAGTTCTCGTTTATTGGAATTAATAGAATTTAAAAATTGCTGATTTACATTTAAAACATTTTTAACACCTAAAATAAGTTAACAATATTAAAAAATATATGAAGTAAACACTGATCTGTACTATAGAATAGGGGATATCATCAAAAAAAGCTAAAGTTTATCACCAAATTACAGATTAAAATCAATAGCCTTCATCTTTCATCTCAATTTATATTGTTATTAGACAGTTTGCCCTATAACATTCATCATAGATGTTATTCATGCATCTTTCTCTAACATATAATTAAATCCTTGTCATGATTCTGCAACTGACTGTATAATTAAAGATGTGTTTGTACTATAAATTTGTCTTCCCACTTGGTAGATTTACTTTCTATAGTATAAAATTATTTTTAAATTAAGGATTTGTCTTTATCATTTATTCCAACTAAAATATTTTCTTTTTTTGAGGACAAACACTAGAGTAAATTCTATGTAAAGTTTTAATTTCATATCAATTTCAGGTATGTCCTTGAGAATATATACTACTACTATAGAAGTTAATGAGGTTTCCATTTCTAAACATCCACAAATATGGGACATGAATACAATTGAAGGGTATAATGTCCACACCAGGGAAGGGTATATGTAAAAACTTTGTGACAGATTGCGATGGGATGTGGTATCAGGGAAATTTTTGAGAATCTTTGGGATGCCATCATTCTACTGTTTGAAATAATTTTATCAAAATCATTACATAAAAGTGATTTTGATCAATGATCATGCAAAGTTCTATTTATGTAAATGGTTGCACTTTGGAACATGACTGTCATGATTAAAACAGGATGAATAAATGATGTTGATAGTCCAGTGTTTTAGTAACAACTCTTCATGTTCCAAAAAGCATAGTTGCATTTTAGTAGAAATGCTGTACTAAATATGATTAAAAATTGCAGTCCTGCATTATGATGATATCACAATAAATAATTGCTCATTTTGTAATACATATTAAACTTTCCATTATAAATTACAGTATAAAATACTAAAGATAGTAAAGTATTTGGCTTACAGGTTTGGCTTGGATAGTTGGGGTTCTACTGCATTTATTTTTCAAATTCAAGCTTTCTACCTGACAGAGGACCATTTAATATTTGTTTGTTAATTTACATAAAAAATATTTTGGATACATACAGATTACATTCTTCTTTTATATTATGAGAAAATTAATGTACAAGAATAAATTTGTTCTGCCAAATTTAATTTCAGTAAGACTAATAATTACAGTAGATTTAAAAATTTCATACTTTTGCAACAGGTAGGATTTTTACAAGGTATCTGCATCCCTTGTTATGATTTACTACAAAAATTAGTTCCTGAAACAAGACTAATGCTGGACGGTTGTCAGTAAGTATTATTATTATTATTATTATGCAAGTTTTTATTAGTAAAAACAGTTTTAATAAAAATAAATCCTTCTTCCTTTAGAAAAAATCTTCAAAAGTGGCAAGAATTAGCCAACCAGCAAGAAAATAAGTAAATTAATGTGGTTTTTGTTTTCATACTTTGGCATATAAATGGATGAATATCTGTTTAATTTATTGTTAAGTAAATCTTTTGTATGATTGAAGAATGGTACAAAGCCAAATCGTAATCCAAAAATGGCATTTATAAAATATTTAAAACTACAAATAGCCAAATGATATAATGATATTTGGAGTAATGCATAGAGAATAAGCAAATTATTGTATGAATCTCATATCTGCTAATGTACATGCTGTTAATTTGCCGGAATTTGAGGAGTCCGAAAAAGTATACATACTCTTGTTACTATAAGAAAAACAGACCATGCAACTGATAAAGAATAATAATTATTTTAATTTGTTGTGGCGACAGTCCTCGGATTAAAATCTATTTTTATAATAAATAAATAATATATTTATTATAAGTGTCTGTAAGGCAAATTTTATAGCAGTGCCTGAAAATATGAGATTTTGAATGCTGTATGGATGAAGTAAGAAAACAATCAACTTTCTACATAAAAGCATGCCAGGGGCAGTTATTGTGATTTAAATACTACATTTTAATGACAACAATCATGTTAAATGCTCCCAATAGACATCTTAGTTGGACTGTCTTTGTCTTCTGATCAATTTGGGATGTCTTAAATGGTTTTAAATCTATTTATCGAATGATCGTGTAATTATTTTTTAAGCTGTTATGAATATGTTACATAATCATTTGTATTATATGAAGTACATTGTAAATGTCTGTACAATTGTTCTGATTCGTCTGTGATAGAAAAAAACAATTACCATCAACATTGTTGGTTTGTTGTTTAAAATACAAAATATCTACAGTATTATTGATATTTGTACAGCTATATTGTATAAAAAAAAGTTACTATAAGTGGAAAATAAAGAATATATATTACTATATAAATAAAGTATATATATAAAATATATATTAAAATTTGACAAAATTATTTCTGAATTACAGAACTCTCCAAATTATAAAATTGGAGGAATCAATTGTTTGTTTTCATGAAATGTTTTAAGATCGTTCACATCTCATTATCAGATTGAACACAACTAATTTCTTTGTATGTTTGAATAATTTTGAACATACAATGAATTTCTTTGTATGTTCTAGGTCAGGGGTGGCCAACAGTTTTTGCTCCCTGGCCGAATTGGAAAGAAAACTTTTTTGTTGGGCTAAACCAGAGGCTGCCCTAGCAAGATTTTGAGGTGGTGCAAGATCTCATTCTGGTGTCACCCTGTAGAGACGAAATTGTACATAGAGATTACAGATATCCAATTTTTACATTATTATGCATTATCAACATTCTACACTGTACTTAAGAGCATTGTAATGGAGCATTAACTCTAAACACACAGTTAGTTGTTGACCTTTTTTTTTATTTTTAGGCATCAGACTTTTTCGTCGAGATATTCGGACTTAAGTAGCTAATACTGAAAGATTAATCACGGGCCGCATAAATTCATTAGATGGGCCGTATGTTGGCCATGCCTGTTCTAGGTGCAAAACTGTTAAGTATTCAATCTGATGATATAGGAAAGGTGTCAAGAAATGTTTAATTGAAAATAAATAGTTGTGTAGTAATTCTTTAAGTTATGAAATCTTTAAAATTCGAGTGAATTTGAGCCTTTGCTGATTCGTCTTTAAGACAAATTTGTACTGAAGACAGGTGAATGCAGTTAGAAAGTGAATGAATTTTAAAGATCTCATTCCAACATTTCTAAATTAAACATCATCAATATTAAATTTGTGACATTTTTAGAATTCATAACTAACATGTGCCATTTAATTTACTTATAAAAACTATTTTTTAACTGAATGAACTTATTAAAAATCAAAACTAATTTTCTGTTTAATTGTTGAAATTCTTTAAACTTCTCACAAGAAAAATTTGGATATTAATAATAATAATAATTTGTAAATTCAACATGTTGTTATTGTTCAAGTAAAAAGAAATTTAATTACTTTTTGATTTAACATTATATAAATTATCTTCTCCTCCTCCTCTTCTACATCTTACTTTCGTATTGACAGAAATTACATTTTAATTAAACACATTTTACGTATTTGTAATTAAGAAACTGGTAGTAAAACATTTTGTTGTGCGTGAGGAATGCATAGTTTCAAACATTATATGTCTTAAGGTAACAGACCGCTTCAAATGTCAGCCATTAAAAATAAAAAGAAATGCTAATTCAACAGTACACAAAATCAAACTGAAACGAGATGTTACTACTACACAAGAAATTCAAAATAATCAAATATATAGCATGTATATATATTAAAAATGCTTTGCAAACTTATCATAAAAAGGCAAACATATTAATAATCATACAAACAAAAACTTAATTTCTTTTAATAACTTTTTAACTGTAACTTTATATGTATGAATTGTCGCTCTCTATACAATCATTCAGTCTAAAAAATTTATATTAAAACATTACAATCTGGAATGAAATTTCAATCTGTTGGATAATTTTTGTTAAACAGAATTATCATCATCAATTGTAAGGAGATTTATCTTTGTTTTTTAATAAATGTATATTAAATAATATTATATATATATAAAGTAAAATATTTTTGTATTATACAGTTAGTTATATATGTATATAACTTCGGCCATAAGGTAAGGATTACCATTACTTCCGATGCAACCGTGTCTATAAATGTTGCCATTTATATCATATAAACTGCATATATATATATCACACAAAATTCCAACGTATATATTTTGACTGCATTAGAATATTTTATTTACAACGGAATCTAAAATTCCTTGCAATAAAAACCCAAATGAGAAAATCTTACTGGCTGATAATGGGCAATTTTTCAAAAATCACAAGTATTTAAATACAGAATTCATTTTTAGAAATATATATCCGAGATGGTACGGTGATACTTTTTGCAAAAGCCATGTTAAAGGTTAATAGCTTTTTTCTTTTTGGTTCCGTCTTTAAACATTTCAAGCAAAATTTTAGGTAAATGAAAAATAAAATTCTTGCCATTCTGTCAAAGTTCTCCTAAACTTAAGGAGCTGTTCGTGTGATGATTGTGAAAAATTAAACAAAATGATTAAAATGCTTGCTGCTTCATCAGTTCTTCAGCAAAACTATAAAAGGAAACATTTGTTGTTATAATAAAAATATTAATGACAACAAAAATAAAAATAAACCTTTGATTTAATGAATTAACACACAACAAATATTTATTAAAGCTCGAGTCTCAATGTATGCATAATCATCATATAAATAGCTTCATTTACATGATGATTTTTGCAATTATACGTTGAAATTGACTATTCTGTAAATATTTTGAATTGAAACAAATCATTTTCAATGCTATAAACTTTTTAATTAATTCACTGTATAAATTAGCAAAACTTAAATACATTACAGCAACAAACTATGAAGTTATGAGAACCCAGCATTTTTGATCATCAATTGCTATTACATGAAAATCCATTAAATCAAAGATTTTCCACATAAAAAAATTAAGCAATATAAAGTAACTACAGTGGTACCTCAGGATACAAAATTAATCTGTTCCGAAACTGAGATCGTATCATGAAAATGTCGTAAGGTGAATCATTTTTCCCCATACGATTATATGTAAAACCAAATAATTCATTCCAACACGAAAAATATACTCAAATTCAAGCTAAGTAATACATTAAAAAAAATAACTATAGTAAGGAAAACACTGAAAAATGCATTTTGTAGTTGTAAATGTATAAATAACCATAATAGAATAATAATTGATTAAAAAAATGTAGTTTTATTTGCACTTTACCTCTGAGGATAGACGACGGTGGAGGTGTAAACTGGTGGCAAAAGAGAGGGAGAAGTGAAATGATACTAAAACTTAACTTACGTAACAATGTGACAATAACTTAAAAATAACTTAGAAGAGATAAAAAAATTATTATTGTTTTATATATATTTTAATTTTTATTCACTGCTTTTTGCTTTCTTTCTTCACTTCCACCAGCACTTTCACTGGATAGAGGTCGCTTGGTAAAATATCTATGCATAGAGGTTTGGCTTTGCCCACTTTTTAAAATGTTTCTAAAATGACTTAGGCAAATGTCATTACTCCGAGTGGCAATACTGCCAGTGTGAACCTTTTCGGGATGTTTCTTTTCAATAAAATCAGTCACTTTCTGATAATACCTCAAGATTTCCTTTATCGAGATCCTTCCACGACGAAGCAAACATGTGGACTGAGACCAATGAATAGAAGTGAATAAAAAATGGCGCTGCGAATTAATGTAATGTCATGTGGTGAGTTTTTGTTCGTATCGTGGAGCAAAAATATGTTTGATTTTCATGTCGTATCCTGAAAATTTCGTATGATGGGGCATTCGTATCCTGAGGTACCACTGTATTTAAATCATACATAAAATTACAAAGAGAAAATAAATTTATTTTAATTTTTACTTTATCTATTAAAACAACTTCACTTAAAATTTACTACTATACTCCTTTAGTTGTAGAAACCAAAAAATGAACATTCTGTTATTTGTGTGTAAACTTTGTTCATTATTTTTTGAATCACTGAACATATTTTCTTATTTTAAAATAGGAAAAAATTATTTTAATATGAAAGTAGACATATGGTTGGAATATTGAAAAATGGGGAGGTAAATATTTTATAATTTTAGTAGATGTGTGATTGTAAATTGTAAAATTAATGTAGTTATTGCATATTTACTAGTGTAGAAAAAGTATTTATGCCTTGTTTAGCTTGTATGGAAGAAAGCCCAATGAGGAGAGAAATATTTTAATTTCTGAAATGCATCTGGAAAAAATAAAGTTGTTGAATGGCTAGTAATTATGGAGTCTGTGGATTTGATAATTCCTAGAAAAGAACAGTGTTTGAACAGGTTATGTATTAAAGAAACAGAATAGAAGCAGAGGATAAATTATTTAACATATTTAGATTAATCTACATTATACAGGATGGCAAAAAAAGCACATACAACTTTAACTGAAAGTTTCTCTGTAAGAAATAAAAATCAGAAATACTTAGTTTAAGTTATATATTAAGGCAACTCTACATATTTGGTATTTTCTGATTGCTAAATAATTGTCTTTTGATAAAGTGTCTGTCATGTGGCAAGCACATGCACACACATACACACACATGCTTATTTGCCAAGCATTGATTCATTGTGGGAATTATCAAATGTTTGTCCAAGATTTGTTTCCTTTCGTTCAGCATAATATATCAATGAGGAGTGGAAAATGGCAAATACCAAATATTTGTCAAGTGAAGTCACGAGTAAATCATCCACACTACTTGGTACTGGCCAAATGTTTGTTCAGCATTTGGGAAATATGGAATGTGTGGAGCTGACTTTATTGCAACTACTACTCCTAAGTGTGAGTTCTTCCAAGTATTTTCTTAAACAAATTTTTCTTTCAGATTTTCAAAGATATTTGTAATTAAAATTAATGCCATTCCCATTAAAAATCATAACTAATCTAATCTAAATGGCTTATACAACATTTTTAACAATTATTAACAGAATGTTATTTTTTTACTGTGTGTTTCAAGCAGTTCAGTCTTTGATTAATAGTTTGAAACTACAAAATAATTTTCATTATGTGATATACAATGCTTCTTGAATACTTTATCTTTGTTGTCATCTATATAACTATGTTATGCTGGATGTTCCTAAACATGATTTGATGTGTGTAACTGTGATTAGATGCCACAGGTAACCACTTTCAACATCTGTTACAATAATACCAGCAGTTTGCTTATGTGTTACTGATAAACTACAGATCAGGGCTACCTTTTCATCTGCTACCCTGTATAAGATTATTTGAAAAACTTAAACAGAAGTAGAAAGTATGCTTAAAAATATAGCTGGAACTTTTTATTCAAATATGAGAAAATCCAAGAAAGTCTAAATTATCAATCCAAAAAATTCAACTAGTATATGGGGGTATCATTCCTTGTCTTTTTTTTAAGCATTACTGTGCATTTTTATAAGTAAATAGTTTTTAGCACATTTCTAGTATCTGTCAGTACTCGACATTCTTTGACAACACTACATTTTCTCATTTCTACTCCTTTAATCTCTAATTTTTTAAGCTAAAAATACGCTTGTATGTGCTTCACACTTAATGGCATTGCTTAGCTCTGTTTTTACAATGTCTTATCTAGATTCAGAGGTCATTAAAACTGTGAAATACCTGACAATTCTGAAACTCCCAAGCTATTTTCTTTTTTAAATATATTGAATTATCCATATTTACACCGAAAAATGTTTTTAATTAACTGAATTTTTAACATTAAATTTCAAGGGATGTATAGTACTGTACATTCAAATTAATCAAATATATGTTTTTCCATCATTCCCAGAGAACAGTCAAGCATAAACTAAAAACTTTGTATAGTGTTAATAGTTCATTGATGAATTAAAATTTTTTTTTTTCATTTGGAATAATGTAAAATTTATATAATTTTGTAAATTGTAGACTGAAGAAGAGTATATATTTTATACATAATATACAGTTAAACTATTAAATTACAGATCAAGTATTCTGATTCCAAATTTAATAGAATCAAAGTCACTTGTGGAAATAACTTTTCAATCAAATTAATCAAGTTTTAATTAACCAAATTCAACTGGGATTGTTTTCTTCTAAATTTCTACAATTTTAAATTCTATCAAGGTCATAATGTGTTTATGGAAAAATTTTAAATGGAAATTTAAGTATAGTTTCTTCGAATAACTTCTGAATATAAATTCTGAAGCAGTAAAAATGTTAAGATGAATGAAATAGTTATAACATATTTTTTAAAAGTGTAATTTTTTAAGTGAAATTGATTTTGTGTAGTAAGAAATAAAATTGAAAATTTAAATCATGTATAGAATGAAGAAAAGATGTAAAAGCAGTATTATAAAATTAATGAACACCAACAAAAAAATAACATTTGAACTTGGCACAATATTCAAAAAAATGAGAAAAACAATGCTTAATTCTGGAAACAAAATTAATTTTTAACTTTATTCAGAATATTCTTTATTATTATCAGAATTCTTTATTATTAATTAAACTTTATTCAGAAATGTTTTCCTTCTTTTATAAGATCATCAGCAGCAGTGAAAATTATCATGTGTATTAGAAAGAATTGTTCAAAAGAGAATGTATTCCTTCAGCACATTTGATAATTTTCACTGCTGATGATTTATAAAAGAATAAAAATGTTTCTGAATAAAGTTTAATTTGGTTTCTGAAATTAAGCATTTTTTCTAATCTTTTCTTATTAATTAATAAACATGATAAACAAAATCACTTTTGCCTCTTGCTTCTTCACTTATAAACAATTCAAACAAAACTGTTAAAATATTGAAATGTAAGCTAATGTAATTAAATGAACTTCTTGTTGATACTTGCCTGTTTTAGAAATTAATTTTAACAAACTAGCACTTATTTTGTTTTTGTGCTTTTTTTTTTTTAATTATTCTATTCTAACTGGTTGTAACTGAAAAAGCCTTAATAAAAGAGGTAAAAGTGTTATAAAATTAATAAATTCAGATACTCATAAAAACTTTTAAAAATAGTAAAAACAATTTAATTAAGAGCATTTTCGGTTATTTTTGAAGACCTTCCTCAGGTAGACTATAAATTCAAACTTAGTGAAAATTGAATGTAACAGATAATTATGTCATATTCTATTTATATACCTATTAAAAACAGCAAAAACAATTTAATTACAAAAACATTCATAATTAAATTGTATTTGCTATTTTTAAAGGTTTTATGAGTGAGTGAATTTCCATATTTGTAGCTTCTATTTTTAAAATTAATAAATAAAATAAATAAATAACTTATGTGTTATATGCCATAATATTTTATAATACTGTTTTTGTAAAGTGTTTGAGAAGTTACTATATAACAAGAAATCTGTAATGACACTAAAGTTACATGTATGGTATTGCATACGAGACCTGCAAGCTGTATGCAATACCATAAGGTCAATTGGTACCAAATGGACAATTCACAGGTCTTGTATGCAATGTTGTACACATGCCTTTAATGTCATTACAAATTTCTCACTGCATAACATTTTGGACACCCTGTACATTTTCTTCATTCTATCCAAATGTAGTATGTAAGTTTTATTGCATCATATATGAAAAAAACTTTATATATATAAGTTATATATAAAATGAGAACTTACTTTCCATCTAAATCCACATTCATTGCACAAAACAAAGGTAGTCATAGGTTCATCAGCACTTCTTGTTTGAACCTAAACATTTTAAAATTTGCAATTAAACAGTAAAATATAATATGCTTCTAACACAATAAAGTGCTATAAATTAAGACACTTGGCGGGTTTTCTCATCTTTATTTAGTTGATACGTGTGAACATTTTACACGTTTCGGGCTCTTAAGCCCCTCTTCAGCCAACTAAAACATTAAAAAAGAATANTTGGAGGAATCAATTGTTTTGTTTTCATGAAATGTTTTAAGATCGTTCACATCTCATTATCAGATTGAACACAACTAATTTCTTTGTATGTTTGAATAATTTTGAACATACAATGAATTTCTTTGTATGTTCTAGGTCAGGGGTGGCCAACAGTTTTTGCTCCCTGGCCGAATTGGAAAGAAAACTTTTTTGTTGGGCTAAACCAGAGGCTGCCCTAGCAAGATTTTGAGGTGGTGCAAGATCTCATTCTGGTGTCACCCTGTAGAGACGAAATTGTACATAGAGATTACAGATATCCAATTTTTACATTATTATGCATTATCAACATTCTACACTGTACTTAAGAGCATTGTAATGGAGCATTAACTCTAAACACACAGTTAGTTGTTGACCTTTTTTTTTATTTTTAGGCATCAGACTTTTTCGTCGAGATATTCGGACTTAAGTAGCTAATACTGAAAGATTAATCACGGGCCGCATAAATTCATTAGATGGGCCGTATGTTGGCCATGCCTGTTCTAGGTGCAAAACTGTTAAGTATTCAATCTGATGATATAGGAAAGGTGTCAAGAAATGTTTAATTGAAAATAAATAGTTGTGTAGTAATTCTTTAAGTTATGAAATCTTTAAAATTCGAGTGAATTTGAGCCTTTGCTGATTCGTCTTTAAGACAAATTTGTACTGAAGACAGGTGAATGCAGTTAGAAAGTGAATGAATTTTAAAGATCTCATTCCAACATTTCTAAATTAAACATCATCAATATTAAATTTGTGACATTTTTAGAATTCATAACTAACATGTGCCATTTAATTTACTTATAAAAACTATTTTTTAACTGAATGAACTTATTAAAAATCAAAACTAATTTTCTGTTTAATTGTTGAAATTCTTTAAACTTCTCACAAGAAAAATTTGGATATTAATAATAATAATAATTTGTAAATTCAACATGTTGTTATTGTTCAAGTAAAAAGAAATTTAATTACTTTTTGATTTAACATTATATAAATTATCTTCTCCTCCTCCTCTTCTACATCTTACTTTCGTATTGACAGAAATTACATTTTAATTAAACACATTTTACGTATTTGTAATTAAGAAACTGGTAGTAAAACATTTTGTTGTGCGTGAGGAATGCATAGTTTCAAACATTATATGTCTTAAGGTAACAGACCGCTTCAAATGTCAGCCATTAAAAATAAAAAGAAATGCTAATTCAACAGTACACAAAATCAAACTGAAACGAGATGTTACTACTACACAAGAAATTCAAAATAATCAAATATATAGCATGTATATATATTAAAAATGCTTTGCAAACTTATCATAAAAAGGCAAACATATTAATAATCATACAAACAAAAACTTAATTTCTTTTAATAACTTTTTAACTGTAACTTTATATGTATGAATTGTCGCTCTCTATACAATCATTCAGTCTAAAAAATTTATATTAAAACATTACAATCTGGAATGAAATTTCAATCTGTTGGATAATTTTTGTTAAACAGAATTATCATCATCAATTGTAAGGAGATTTATCTTTGTTTTTTAATAAATGTATATTAAATAATATTATATATATATAAAGTAAAATATTTTTGTATTATACAGTTAGTTATATATGTATATAACTTCGGCCATAAGGTAAGGATTACCATTACTTCCGATGCAACCGTGTCTATAAATGTTGCCATTTATATCATATAAACTGCATATATATATATCACACAAAATTCCAACGTATATATTTTGACTGCATTAGAATATTTTATTTACAACGGAATCTAAAATTCCTTGCAATAAAAACCCAAATGAGAAAATCTTACTGGCTGATAATGGGCAATTTTTCAAAAATCACAAGTATTTAAATACAGAATTCATTTTTAGAAATATATATCCGAGATGGTACGGTGATACTTTTTGCAAAAGCCATGTTAAAGGTTAATAGCTTTTTTCTTTTTGGTTCCGTCTTTAAACATTTCAAGCAAAATTTTAGGTAAATGAAAAATAAAATTCTTGCCATTCTGTCAAAGTTCTCCTAAACTTAAGGAGCTGTTCGTGTGATGATTGTGAAAAATTAAACAAAATGATTAAAATGCTTGCTGCTTCATCAGTTCTTCAGCAAAACTATAAAAGGAAACATTTGTTGTTATAATAAAAATATTAATGACAACAAAAATAAAAATAAACCTTTGATTTAATGAATTAACACACAACAAATATTTATTAAAGCTCGAGTCTCAATGTATGCATAATCATCATATAAATAGCTTCATTTACATGATGATTTTTGCAATTATACGTTGAAATTGACTATTCTGTAAATATTTTGAATTGAAACAAATCATTTTCAATGCTATAAACTTTTTAATTAATTCACTGTATAAATTAGCAAAACTTAAATACATTACAGCAACAAACTATGAAGTTATGAGAACCCAGCATTTTTGATCATCAATTGCTATTACATGAAAATCCATTAAATCAAAGATTTTCCACATAAAAAAATTAAGCAATATAAAGTAACTACAGTGGTACCTCAGGATACAAAATTAATCTGTTCCGAAACTGAGATCGTATCATGAAAATGTCGTAAGGTGAATCATTTTTCCCCATACGATTATATGTAAAACCAAATAATTCATTCCAACACGAAAAATATACTCAAATTCAAGCTAAGTAATACATTAAAAAAAATAACTATAGTAAGGAAAACACTGAAAAATGCATTTTGTAGTTGTAAATGTATAAATAACCATAATAGAATAATAATTGATTAAAAAAATGTAGTTTTATTTGCACTTTACCTCTGAGGATAGACGACGGTGGAGGTGTAAACTGGTGGCAAAAGAGAGGGAGAAGGGAAATGATACTAAAACTTAACTTACGTAACAATGTGACAATAACTTAAAAATAACTTAGAAGAGATAAAAAAAATTATTATTGTTTTATATATATTTTAATTTTTATTCACTGCTTTTTGCTTTCTTTCTTCACTTCCACCAGCACTTTCACTGGATAGAGGTCGCTTGGTAAAATATCTATGCATAGAGGTTTGGCTTTGCCCACTTTTTAAAATGTTTCTAAAATGACTTAGGCAAATGTCATTACTCCGAGTGGCAATACTGCCAGTGTGAACCTTTTCGGGATGTTTCTTTTCAATAAAATCAGTCACTTTCTGATAATACCTCAAGATTTCCTTTATCGAGATCCTTCCACGACGAAGCAAACATGTGGACTGAGACCAATGAATAGAAGTGAATAAAAAATGGCGCTGCGAATTAATGTAATGTCATGTGGTGAGTTTTTGTTCGTATCGTGGAGCAAAAATATGTTTGATTTTCATGTCGTATCCTGAAAATTTCGTATGATGGGGCATTCGTATCCTGAGGTACCACTGTATTTAAATCATACATAAAATTACAAAGAGAAAATAAATTTATTTTAATTTTTACTTTATCTATTAAAACAACTTCACTTAAAATTTACTACTATACTCCTTTAGTTGTAGAAACCAAAAAATGAACATTCTGTTATTTGTGTGTAAACTTTGTTCATTATTTTTTGAATCACTGAACATATTTTCTTATTTTAAAATAGGAAAAAATTATTTTAATATGAAAGTAGACATATGGTTGGAATATTGAAAAATGGGGAGGTAAATATTTTATAATTTTAGTAGATGTGTGATTGTAAATTGTAAAATTAATGTAGTTATTGCATATTTACTAGTGTAGAAAAAGTATTTATGCCTTGTTTAGCTTGTATGGAAGAAAGCCCAATGAGGAGAGAAATATTTTAATTTCTGAAATGCATCTGGAAAAAATAAAGTTGTTGAATGGCTAGTAATTATGGAGTCTGTGGATTTGATAATTCCTAGAAAAGAACAGTGTTTGAACAGGTTATGTATTAAAGAAACAGAATAGAAGCAGAGGATAAATTATTTAACATATTTAGATTAATCTACATTATACAGGATGGCAAAAAAAGCACATACAACTTTAACTGAAAGTTTCTCTGTAAGAAATAAAAATCAGAAATACTTAGTTTAAGTTATATATTAAGGCAACTCTACATATTTGGTATTTTCTGATTGCTAAATAATTGTCTTTTGATAAAGTGTCTGTCATGTGGCAAGCACATGCACACACATACACACACATGCTTATTTGCCAAGCATTGATTCATTGTGGGAATTATCAAATGTTTGTCCAAGATTTGTTTCCTTTCGTTCAGCATAATATATCAATGAGGAGTGGAAAATGGCAAATACCAAATATTTGTCAAGTGAAGTCACGAGTAAATCATCCACACTACTTGGTACTGGCCAAATGTTTGTTCAGCATTTGGGAAATATGGAATGTGTGGAGCTGACTTTATTGCAACTACTACTCCTAAGTGTGAGTTCTTCCAAGTATTTTCTTAAACAAATTTTTCTTTCAGATTTTCAAAGATATTTGTAATTAAAATTAATGCCATTCCCATTAAAAATCATAACTAATCTAATCTAAATGGCTTATACAACATTTTTAACAATTATTAACAGAATGTTATTTTTTTACTGTGTGTTTCAAGCAGTTCAGTCTTTGATTAATAGTTTGAAACTACAAAATAATTTTCATTATGTGATATACAATGCTTCTTGAATACTTTATCTTTGTTGTCATCTATATAACTATGTTATGCTGGATGTTCCTAAACATGATTTGATGTGTGTAACTGTGATTAGATGCCACAGGTAACCACTTTCAACATCTGTTACAATAATACCAGCAGTTTGCTTATGTGTTACTGATAAACTACAGATCAGGGCTACCTTTTCATCTGCTACCCTGTATAAGATTATTTGAAAAACTTAAACAGAAGTAGAAAGTATGCTTAAAAATATAGCTGGAACTTTTTATTCAAATATGAGAAAATCCAAGAAAGTCTAAATTATCAATCCAAAAAATTCAACTAGTATATGGGGGTATCATTCCTTGTCTTTTTTTTAAGCATTACTGTGCATTTTTATAAGTAAATAGTTTTTAGCACATTTCTAGTATCTGTCAGTACTCGACATTCTTTGACAACACTACATTTTCTCATTTCTACTCCTTTAATCTCTAATTTTTTAAGCTAAAAATACGCTTGTATGTGCTTCACACTTAATGGCATTGCTTAGCTCTGTTTTTACAATGTCTTATCTAGATTCAGAGGTCATTAAAACTGTGAAATACCTGACAATTCTGAAACTCCCAAGCTATTTTCTTTTTTAAATATATTGAATTATCCATATTTACACCGAAAAATGTTTTTAATTAACTGAATTTTTAACATTAAATTTCAAGGGATGTATAGTACTGTACATTCAAATTAATCAAATATATGTTTTTCCATCATTCCCAGAGAACAGTCAAGCATAAACTAAAAACTTTGTATAGTGTTAATAGTTCATTGATGAATTAAAATTTTTTTTTTTTTCATTTGGAATAATGTAAAATTTATATAATTTTGTAAATTGTAGACTGAAGAAGAGTATATATTTTATACATAATATACAGTTAAACTATTAAATTACAGATCAAGTATTCTGATTCCAAATTTAATAGAATCAAAGTCACTTGTGGAAATAACTTTTCAATCAAATTAATCAAGTTTTAATTAACCAAATTCAACTGGGATTGTTTTCTTCTAAATTTCTACAATTTTAAATTCTATCAAGGTCATAATGTATTTATGGAAAAATTTTAAATGGAAATTTAAGTATAGTTTCTTCGAATAACTTCTGAATATAAATTCTGAAGCAGTAAAAATGTTAAGATGAATGAAATAGTTATAACATATTTTTTAAAAGTGTAATTTTTTAAGTGAAATTGATTTTGTGTAGTAAGAAATAAAATTGAAAATTTAAATCATGTATAGAATGAAGAAAAGATGTAAAAGCAGTATTATAAAATTAATGAACACCAACAAAAAAATAACATTTGAACTTGGCACAATATTCAAAAAAATGAGAAAAACAATGCTTAATTCTGGAAACAAAATTAATTTTTAACTTTATTCAGAATATTCTTTATTATTATCAGAATTCTTTATTATTAATTAAACTTTATTCAGAAATGTTTTCCTTCTTTTATAAGATCATCAGCAGCAGTGAAAATTATCATGTGTATTAGAAAGAATTGTTCAAAAGAGAATGTATTCCTTCAGCACATTTGATAATTTTCACTGCTGATGATTTATAAAAGAATAAAAATGTTTCTGAATAAAGTTTAATTTGGTTTCTGAAATTAAGCATTTTTTCTAATCTTTTCTTATTAATTAATAAACATGATAAACAAAATCACTTTTGCCTCTTGCTTCTTCACTTATAAACAATTCAAACAAAACTGTTAAAATATTGAAATGTAAGCTAATGTAATTAAATGAACTTCTTGTTGATACTTGCCTGTTTTAGAAATTAATTTTAACAAACTAGCACTTATTTTGTTTTTGTGCTTTTTTTTTTTTAATTATTCTATTCTAACTGGTTGTAACTGAAAAAGCCTTAATAAAAGAGGTAAAAGTGTTATAAAATTAATAAATTCAGATACTCATAAAAACTTTTAAAAATAGTAAAAACAATTTAATTAAGAGCATTTTCGGTTATTTTTGAAGACCTTCCTCAGGTAGACTATAAATTCAAACTTAGTGAAAATTGAATGTAACAGATAATTATGTCATATTCTATTTATATACCTATTAAAAACAGCAAAAACAATTTAATTACAAAAACATTCATAATTAAATTGTATTTGCTATTTTTAAAGGTTTTATGAGTGAGTGAATTTCCATATTTGTAGCTTCTATTTTTAAAATTAATAAATAAAATAAATAAATAACTTATGTGTTATATGCCATAATATTTTATAATACTGTTTTTGTAAAGTGTTTGAGAAGTTACTATATAACAAGAAATCTGTAATGACACTAAAGTTACATGTATGGTATTGCATACGAGACCTGCAAGCTGTATGCAATACCATAAGGTCAATTGGTACCAAATGGACAATTCACAGGTCTTGTATGCAATGTTGTACACATGCCTTTAATGTCATTACAAATTTCTCACTGCATAACATTTTGGACACCCTGTACATTTTCTTCATTCTATCCAAATGTAGTATGTAAGTTTTATTGCATCATATATGAAAAAAACTTTATATATATAAGTTATATATAAAATGAGAACTTACTTTCCATCTAAATCCACATTCATTGCACAAAACAAAGGTAGTCATAGGTTCATCAGCACTTCTTGTTTGAACCTAAACATTTTAAAATTTGCAATTAAACAGTAAAATATAATATGCTTCTAACACAATAAAGTGCTATAAATTAAGACACTTGGCGGGTTTTCTCATCTTTATTTAGTTGATACGTGTGAACATTTTACACGTTTCGGGCTCTTAAGCCCCTCTTCAGCCAACATGTATATAAGTCTTATAGACTGAAGTAACAGCTTGCTTCCGTTTCAGTAACAGTTACTCTCGATATTTTCCAGTAACGTCAGCTTATTCATAAATAACTTGATTACGGTTGTTATTAAAACTAACAACCGTAAAAAACAGTTTTAATAACAACCATAATCAAGTTATTTATGAATAAGCTGACGTTACTGGAAAATATCGAGAGTAACTGTTACTGAAACGGAAGCAAGCTGTTACTTCAGTCTATAAGACTTATATACATGTTGGCTGAAGAGGGGCTTAAGAGCCCGAAACGTGTAAAATGTTCACACGTATCAACTAAATAAAGATGAGAAAACCCGCCAAGTGTCTTAATTTATAGCACTTTATTGTGTTAGAAGCATAAACAAATTGAAAAGCACGGTTTCATATCATCAAAAAAAGTAAAATATAAATTAAAATAGCTTGTGATAAAAAATTATTTTTTTTATATTAAATAATTGGTATAATATACAGGTAAACTAGTACAATAAAGCAAACTGCTCCTAATAAATGTTTCTTACTATACGCATACATAAAAAAAATATATTTAATTTCTTACTTGATTATAAGTTGAATTATTCTTTTTGCATTTAGGGCACTTCAAAAGATCTGTTTTTGTTCCACTAGTCACACACATCTGATGATCATTAATAGCTTCTTTTGTGAACTTTTGACGTAATTGTTTCATTTCATCACTTGCCATTTCCTAAAAATTACAAATGAAGTGATAATTAATAAAATATCTTTTCTCCTTCTGTGTTTAAAAATAGCATTAAGCAATTTTGTACATACAAAAATTCATTAAAATTCTGCTATATAAAAATGATAAATATAAAACATCTTATTTAAAACTAATAATAAATCTTATTTAGTGTATCATAGTTTCAAATTGAAATTGAAATTTCCATACTTAACGCAATAATTAGTTATTGTAACACACAATATAATTTGTTTAATGCACTGTACTGTACATCTTATATCAAAAATGCAGCTGCAAAAAGTTAATTTATTTATACAGCAATAAATGCTTTTTGAAAAGCATTTTATTTTCATACTTGTAGTGCTTCACAATATCCACATTTCCAAATGTATTCATTTAGGACTCTGTCATCAGATACAGAAGATATGCAAACAAATACAAAATCACATTCAAAATTACTATACAATCAACACTTTAATAGTGAGATTTTACTTCGATATGAACAAGCATGAAATTTGTCACACATATAGTATCACACAGAAATATCTGTATACAGTTGAACCTGTATATCTCAAATCTCACAGGAATGAGAAAAAATTTAAGACAGACAGATTTTGAGATATAGAGATTTTGAAATAGAGGTTCATATGCAGTAAATAGTAATAGATCTGATTTGAGGCATGGTATTTTATTAATACAATAGCAAGTACAATACACACCTTATTACATATAAGTAAAACATTTTTGACAACCTTAACAGAAATAGTTTATCAATACTTTCTGATGCTTGACTTTATAATTTTTGAGATACAGGTTTTCAAGATATACATGTTTGAGATAGACAGGTTCAACTATATATGTTCTTCAGCACAGAGGATAACTGTCTCCATTAACACAGCTTTATAGGAAATTTGTCTACTGGACATTGTTCAATTGACTTGCTGTAGGTCAAATCACTATCATATCATTCCAAACCAAAACCAAAATTAAAATTAAAGTAATAGAGATGTGTACCATGTCTATACTGTGTGACATCATAACACATGCAAATTGCTGAGCAGAGTGAAGAGAACAAATAATAACAAGGCTGCATTAAATCAACTTTGTGCCTGATTCCAATGCACAACCCAGTTTTTGAGACCAGAAAAATAAAAAAAAAGCATATTAGAATTGAGAAAATTTTATCATAAGGATGAAGCAGCACTAGTTCAATTAAACTTTTGAACAGAAATTATATATTTTTTAACACTAAATAGTCAAACAAATCAAGCATTAAAATCAGCTAAATCAGATATTAAGTCATCAAGCCAAATAGCTGTAATATTTTAGTAGTAAAATAAATATTTTTCTCGTTAATATGATTACAATTTCTTAATTGTAAATTCAAATTCTTTTTTTATTGCATTTCATTCTTAACTTTTTCCATGTCCTCTCTTTCTTAAAGTCTTTTTTCCATGCTCATCACAGAGATTGCTAGGTGGTGAACAACAACAGAGATCAATGTATCTGGAATAGACTACCTATGAGAAACTTCCTGATTTGATCCTGTGGCCCAAGCAGTAGATTGTTCCCTTAACTGCCTTGATCATGTGGTTATCTTCATTAACTCTTTCTATGACTAATCATATTAGCAAAATTCTGTAAAGACTTCTGAAGTAGAAAATTTTAGTCTTATTGAGTTATTTTAATTAAAAAACCAGTATTTTCAATGTTAATATATATCTATTAAAAATGTTTAGCAGAATGCATCTTTTACATTAAATCCTTTAACATTTACAGTGGGTGATCAGTTAACAAACAAATCGGATAATGAACACTTTCGTGAAAGATCTTTATGTTTGGACAACAAACACCTCACAGAACAAACACAAGAAGAAGTGATGTAAAATAATGAATACCAATTGTTCTTCCCTTGTCTTCAGATAACAATTCGAAACTTTTCAGAGTGCAGGAGACATCGACATTGACACTCAACCCGGTATATACTGATTGGATAGTATTCCTCCGAACTTTGAAACTCTCCCTTGTAATTCCAGCCTTTTATTTTTCTGACAGAAACAATTCTTTTATAGTATTCCTGAGACTGTCGGGTGGGCATTTGTTAAGTTTTGCATCAGTTTTTATTTTCGAAAGGTAAGAGTATAATAGCAAAGGTAGAGAGTGGGCAGAAGATGTCTGATGTTGCTGGGCAGTATAGCTTGAACAGGTCTACAGTAGGCCGCAGTTCAATCTTATCTAAGAAAGATACAGTATAATCAAGAAGACCCAATCAGCTTAAGGAGTAACAAAAATCACATCTGAAAAATAAAGAACATTGAAGAGCTCATAATGGAACCTGAAACTGATCTGACAACAGAAGAACGTCAAAAACTCTTGAATGAAGAACACCAAGAAACTTGGCAAGATATGTTTTCTTCTGAAAAGGAGGATTAATGCTGATATCTGCTAATTAACATATTTTGAAGAAGTGGAGGATGTCAGAACAACTGTCTTAGAATGGCATCCAAACCAGGTTGAGGTTTAGGATCTCTACAATTACAATGCTATTAATTAATTCTGAAAAATCCTGAAGAAGAGAAAAGCAATCAACATTAGACGGATTCCTTAACCCCCACAAATGGATAAAACATGACTAATAAAAATGCAAGACTGTGTATATATGTATTTTTATTATTGCATATAAATAAATGTAGTAAGAAAGTACATATTTTTTATTTTTTGGAGTCTCCAGAACAAATTAATCAAATTCCCATAAAAACCCATGGTAAATCGATAATCAGTTAACAAACAATTCAGATAGCGAACAAAGTTTTGGAACAGATTATGTTCGTTAACCAATCACCCACTGTATTTAACAACTAGTTTTCTTAGATCTGATTAATTTTATTTTTACTTGTAGTTTAACTGGCATGCCAGTAGCCTTAGGCAATTTTAAATTTGTGTTCTACATCATGCATGTGTATTTGTAACAAGCTAAAGATGGCAAAAGAATAATAAAAAATGTTATTCAGTAACATTTTTATACTATATTTATATAAATCATTCTTTACAGAATAAGAAATAATCTCATTTTCATAAATTTAGTAATTTGTATAATGTTGTGATTTAAAAAGATCAAAGTTTCATATATTTTTATGACTATTCATTGTAATTTTTCTCCTTTATGATATATTTATATCATGTATTTTAGATAAATTAGAAATTATAATTACCTCAGCTGTCATAGAAGCAAGTTTTTCAGGTAATATAGCACCTCTTAAAACGTTAAGACGAAGATTTGGATTTTTACCATCTTTTAAATTTGAAATTCTGCTACGTATTCTGTTTTTATATTTCATGCCTGTATCTTTCAATTCATTATAAATACATAATCACTGTTAAGGAATATTTACAATCATTTTATTTTGTAATGTTAAAAAAAGTCCATTAAGTTACATTTATTAATTTTTAATAAATCAAATGGAATAAAGATGAAATACTACATTATGTAATTTATTTAACTTCTAATCATTATAAAATTAAGTTTATCACTTACATAATTAATAAAGAAAATTAAAAGTTGAAGACTGAATACAAATAAAAATTTGCATTCTTCTTCATAATCATAGGAACACAGTTTAACATGAGCAATTATTTATTGTAACATTGTCACAATGCTGAGCTGCAAATTTTAATCATATTTTTAATTTAAAATATGTGTTCTCCATAGTTTTCCATTAGCAATGGAGTTGAGCTGGTCATCTATCTAACTCTGTTCAGGGGAAAATTTTGAATTGAAGTAATATGACTCTGGTCCAAACTGGAAGTTTATATGTAGTTAATTGGAGCCTCCTGCCTCTATGTTTTCCATATCTGACTTTGAATTTCATTTATCTAACATCATTCTTGAGATTCAGGAAAGGCAGACAGACAGATGACAGTAGGAATTTGTAGGTCTACAATTTTTTCAAACGAGTCCAATTAACAGAGTCAATCTTTCTTTAGAAGCTCTTCTGAGCTCATACATATGCAAATTCATTATTCATTAAATTCTTATAAAAATTAAAGTTTAACCGAAATTTTAAGATTATTACTTATAATTATAAAAATAAACAGAGAGGTATCTTCTGGCATTAATAGGGAAATTCTAGATTTGACAAAAGCAAGAGTTAATAAACAAAAATCACATTTTATATAATAAAATGAATAAAGTAAGTAATCTTAAAATTAATATATTTTCTACCAAAGTGATCTTATTATAGAGAAGCTACCTGTACGCAACTATCTTACAGTGAAGTTAAAATTGTAGCAAAGTCATTAATGTTTAAGATTGATTATCTCACTTGACTTTTAAAATATATATTCTTATTCTTTGCTCTCTTATTCCTATTCTGTTGTACGTAATGTCTTCTCTGTGACTTGTAGAAAAGTTACCCTATTAATTTTTAAAATTATTTAAATTATCTTGGAAGTATCTATATATCATTGTGTAACATGAAATATATAACTTTGGTATTGCCAATAGAACTTTTAGAATTGTTTTAAAACGTAATAATAAAAAACATTTCAATTTTTTTGTTGTTTGGACTAATGCTTTCATATATGTTGATAAATAACATGGGATACAAATAGTTTATTGACTTTCTCTGAACTTGATCAGTTCTCAGATACGAAACAACTAATTTTTTTGTCCTGATTATCTTGAATATCGATATATAAATAAGAAAATTGTAACTTTCATAAGTTACAAAATTGTAAATTAACTACAAAATTACTAATTGCAAAATTAATATAAGGAACGAATTTAATATTATTGTAATAAAGAAATAGAATTATCATAGCAGAATATGGTACAGGTATATTTAATATTTAAAAAGTTATCATAAATTAAGTATATCATAAATTAAGGAAATTACAGTTTTATATAAATTACTTATTTGAATTATTATTATTTGAATTTGAATTAATGTTTATTAACGTAATAGGCTGTAGCCTGTTACACGGGGGATGTTTATACAATTTATCAACTTTACATAAATTAATTTTTTCAATGAACTTTTGCCATCCGTCTATTACAATCAGGGTGGTTGGATTTTACAATTTCNTGTTAAATCCTTCTTTAAATCGGATTTATTATTCATTTTTTTTTCATAGGTAAAATACTTATTTATTATTTAAGTAAATATTTTACCAGAGGATTATTCATCCTATATGATGATCTCAGCATGAACATCATCAACTGGTAACAGTTTTTGGGTGCATTTGTTAATAGCAGTCACTCTGCAATGGGAGTGTGCTGCTGTTTGTAGGCATTTAGGAATGACGGTGAAAGAAAGATGATAGCACCCACACTATCAATAGTATCGTGATGGAGGAATATAAAATTCTAAAATGAGCTTTTAGAGGCAAAAGAAGGCCCCAATTGTAAACTTTAACCATTAAATGGATTTGTTGTTGAAAGAGCATTCAAAGTAGCCACAAAAACAATTAGAATGCTTGTGCGCAGTTACGCGGAGGTATAAAAGAATGCACCATTTATTACATTTCATGTTGTATTGTACAAGGGTTTCCAGTTCCAGTTCCAGTTATCCAGTTCCCAAACCATGTTAGAGTGAACCCATGCTATAAAAGCACCATGCTATATGGGGATATTCCCAATTCTCAAACCGTGTTAGAGTGAATCCGTGCTATAGAACTGTCGTGTTATACGGGGGTTATCTGTACTTTATTATAGTATGCATTTCCGATCAAGTCCTCATCAGCCATCACATAGATTGGACAGAAATAAATTAAAGAAGATTAGACATCTATAAGTAATAATTAACATTATAACTTACTAAAAAAAAAACATTTTTTACTACAACAAAAACACAAAACTAAATTTACATTCTCTGTAAAATCTCATACATAGAAAACTGGTTAATTGAAATTAATTTCATATTTGTGTATATCACTGTGAACAAATAAAAAAGCATTTAAATTAACATATTTTATGAATTATTACTTCTTTATATACTAACATAATAAATACATAACTTTAAAATTTAATCATTTAAGGATATTATCTTCTATTTTACCAGCCAATTCATCTGGATCTTCTGAATCTTCAGGAATGCCTATCCAAAATTAAATAACAATATTTTATTTAAAAAAATTAAATTAAATTGCTTTATGTCAGTATGGAATAAAATTCACTTTATTTTTATAATATTTACAAGTAAATTTTGTTCCTTTTTAATTGATTCATCCATCCATTGTGACTGATTTGTTTACAACAAAATGCTGATTTCCAAAATTGAAGTTGTATACATTGCTATTGCATTCTTTCCAAAATATTTTTCTTACATTGTTTAATGTAAGCAGTTATTTGTATCATCTCACATTTTAATCCAAAATTTATACATTGAAGTAGTTTTAAATACATTAATATCACCAAATGCCATTTTCTTCACAATGTAAACTAACTTTTTCCTTCTTGAATTTCATTTGAAATATCATCAGCATCAAGCATGCACATGGCATGCAATTAATACTTTATAACCAATTTGTTAGCAATTCATTTAATTCATTCAACTTTATAAATGTACCCATAAAGAAAATATGAAATAAAATGATATATCATTTTTCTCCCATAGATATTTTTACTACTTGATGAGTTTAACTTTCTGATTTTTCTTGTTGAATAGTGTGCATGTTTGAAATAGGCATATTTTAAACAAATTCCTTTTACTATTCAGTACAATATTAACACCAGAACAAACATTTCTGGCTAATTTAATTAGTGATTATCAAGTTCCAATTTAACACAAAAACAACTTTTCAATTCTAGAACTTTAATCTGTTTTGCCTTACATTGTTTTTATATTAGATTGAAAACTTACAATAACTAATTAAATTATTAAAAATACAAAAACTAGTTAAAAGTATCTCATCAGTTCTGAATTATTTATGTTCTAATTTCAAGCAATAAACCTTCCTCAGGTAGACTATAAATTCAAACTTAGTNAAATTCTTATAAAAATTTCTAAATTAAAATTTTTAAACAATCAAATTTTTACAAAAATCTAGTGCCAAAGAAACTTTTAATTAATTTGCATATCGTTCATGCACAAGAATAGTGACAACTCAAAAATTTCCAATTTCGAGTTTATTGTAGAAATGTATAGCAAACTCCCCATATTTTTACGTGGAAGAACAAACACTAATATTTATTTCCAAAAAAGATTTGAAAATTTTAAAAATACAAGATCATGACAAAAGCCTTGCAGGAAATAAGAAACTTTTAAATGGCTGTTCTGGAAGATCTATTTTTTTAAGCTGTGTCACTATTCTTGTGCACCAATGTTATGAGTGGAAAAAAAGCCTCTATCTAAAGATTAATTCTGCTAATGTTAAATCATGCTCCTATAATTTTTTAAAACTATCTGTCCTACAGGTATTGAGAGGACCTATTTTAGCAAATTCATTAAGGGTTCAGTCAAGCCCAACATATCCATACAGACCACTCCTGGAAAAATTCCTGGTATTTTTTGACCCATCCAGATTCAATCCCAGATCCCAAAAAGCAATAGTCCCCTGCCACCTTAACCACTCAACCTGTGTTCCTATGGTTGTGAAGGATGTTCATGTAAAAATTGCAAATTTTATTGTATTTAGTCTTCAATTTGTAATATATTTTACTAATAAATCATCTTGAATTTTTAAATTTAGTTGCAATTTTATCAGATCTTTACTTAATTTTTTCTTTAAATAAGTAGTCACTTATAATATATATTATGGCTTTAAGACAGCCTTTTCTTCTTATGCCCTGGCAAGGAGAGACACAGATCAAAACGAAATTAAACTTTTTTCTTTCCTACACATATACAGGAACGTAACCCCCATATAACATGGGAGTTACGTTCCAAAAAATTGCCATGTTATGCGAATTCATGTTATACAAAATAAAGAACTAGTGCGAAAAGAGGGGTTAGGTTCCAAAAATTAAAAAACATGCTGTTAAATCCTTATTTGAATTGGATTTATTATTCATTTTTTTTTCATAGGTAAAATACTTATTTATTATTTAAGTAAATATTTTACCAGAGGATTATTCATCCTATATGATGATCTCAGCATGAGCATCATCAACTGGTAANAGCCATCACATAGATTGGACAGAAATAAATTAAAGAAGATTAGACATCTATAAGTAATAATTAACATTATAACTTACTAAAAAAAAAACATTTTTTACTACAACAAAAACACAAAACTAAATTTACATTCTCTGTAAAATCTCATACATAGAAAACTGGTTAATTGAAATTAATTTCATATTTGTGTATATCACTGTGAACAAATAAAAAAGCATTTAAATTAACATATTTTATGAATTATTACTTCTTTATATACTAACATAATAAATACATAACTTTAAAATTTAATCATTTAAGGATATTATCTTCTATTTTACCAGCCAATTCATCTGGATCTTCTGAATCTTCAGGAATGCCTATCCAAAATTAAATAACAATATTTTATTTAAAAAAATTAAATTAAATTGCTTTATGTCAGTATGGAATAAAATTCACTTTATTTTTATAATATTTACAAGTAAATTTTGTTCCTTTTTAATTGATTCATCCATCCATTGTGACTGATTTGTTTACAACAAAATGCTGATTTCCAAAATTGAAGTTGTATACATTGCTATTGCATTCTTTCCAAAATATTTTTCTTACATTGTTTAATGTAAGCAGTTATTTGTATCATCTCACATTTTAATCCAAAATTTATACATTGAAGTAGTTTTAAATACATTAATATCACCAAATGCCATTTTCTTCACAATGTAAACTAACTTTTTCCTTCTTGAATTTCATTTGAAATATCATCAGCATCAAGCATGCACATGGCATGCAATTAATACTTTATAACCAATTTGTTAGCAATTCATTTAATTCATTCAACTTTATAAATGTACCCATAAAGAAAATATGAAATAAAATGATATATCATTTTTCTCCCATAGATATTTTTACTACTTGATGAGTTTAACTTTCTGATTTTTCTTGTTGAATAGTGTGCATGTTTGAAATAGGCATATTTTAAACAAATTCCTTTTACTATTCAGTACAATATTAACACCAGAACAAACATTTCTGCCTAATTTAATTAGTGATTATCAAGTTCCAATTTAACACAAAAACAACTTTTCAATTCTAGAACTTTAATCTGTTTTGCCTTACATTGTTTTTATATTAGATTGAAAATTTACAATAACTAATTAAATTATTAAAAATACAAAAACTAGTTAAAAGTATCTCATCAGTTCTGAATTATTTATGTTCTAATTTCAAGCAATAATATGGATAATTGAGAATTTGACACATTTTATTAATTATAATTAAAATAACTAATGTTTTTGATGGAAACTTTCCATGGAAAAAAGTCATTTAATTAAAGGTTGTTTAATTATAGTTAAATATTTTCAATATCAAATGCTATATTGTTTAGTGTTTTAAAATTATTTAATAAATAAAAATACTACAAAAATGTAAGAATTTAATGAATTTTTCAACTAAATTCCCACTTTATAAAATTCAAAATATATATATTTCTTGCATATGCACTGCAACTAGAGGATTTGATCCTGGCATCTCGAAAATCGGGATCCCAACCACTTTTCAGTCCCAAAATTTTCGGGATTAAGTTTTCCTAATCCCGAGATTTTCGGGATTGCTATCATTTTAAAAAAGTTGCAAAATAGACTGCATGAAGCGAAACGTTCAGTGCCAGTGCTTTTAACTGAATTGCTTGCCTATCATTTTAATATAAAATACAAGAAATTTTATTCCAACAAGCAGCAGAAATTAACCTAGCAGGCTTGCAATGCTTGCTTGGAATAAAATTTCTTGTATTTTGAACTAAAATGATAGGCAAGCAGTTCTCACTGGATTACTTGGTAATATACTTCATTTTTGTATTTTTGAATTTTCATGGGCGCCAATCGATTTTCTGGTGCAGTTGAGAGAACTACTCAGTGCGTTTTACCTGTCAATGTGTTAACCATCTTGTTTTGCCAGTGTGGGTAATATAGACCCGACACCTCTCACTTAGGGGGGGTCGACCTTAGGTGAAAAGGTTACGACCCTCACCTTGCCCATGATCTGTCAGGATGATGCGAGAAAGTCTTTTTATGTATGGGGGTAGTGGTTTGCTGGACGCTGAGAGAATCACACAGAGACCGAATTTACAAAATTAACATGCTTATTTTTAGAAAGACATGTTTACAATGATCAAAACAATGGTCTGTCCAGTGAAAAGATGGTGTACCAAACGATGGAGAGCCCTTCCCAAGGGCATGTGAGTCACACATCAGAAAAAATTCTCCTGCGTCGGTTGTAGAGGGTTTTCCTTTTACCCATTTGGAGGAGGAAGTGGTAGCAAGGCCCACATAGCACAAGACCACGATGTTCGTTCACGATGTTCCGTTGGAAAGTTAATTCCCTAGTTCATACTGTGGAGAAGTCTGCGGCGGGAAGGTCTGTCCCTAACTTCTGCCATATTTGGTTTGCTAGCCTTTACTCCTACAATCCCAATCTGTGTCAACCAGACTGTTTTCTTCCAACCTCCCTGTGTCCTCAGAGCTATAACTAGAGCAGGCTTATAAGTATTTACTAATGATTCCTCCAACTTCCATCAAACCTAAACACGTTTTCTCAGCAGCTGCATATATGTGCAACAAATTGAGAAGCAGACTTGGGGATGAGACACTGGATGAATTGTTATTTCTCAGATCATATTTTAGCAATTCAAATTAGAATGTTCCTATTAGATTAGTTTTCTTTATATTTAAGAAAAATGTGACTGATTAATATTATTTTTAAATACTTTTTGCTAAGAAACTTACTATACTACCTACTTACTAGGTTGTTACATGAATGTCGTCTATTTAGTCAATGTTAAGAGAGATTTTTGTTAATTTTCAACGTTTATTTGCATAGTTTGTTACATAAAGATTTTTCCAATTTATGTAAGTTTAAAGAGATCTTGATGATGCTTAAAAAAAATAACTTTAACATGAAGACTGAGTAATTTTAAGTCTGGTTAGTCTGACTCTAAGTCTGATTAGTTAGAGTGATTAAATTAGCTAGGTGTATACTGTAAAATACATTGATTTTTGTCTAAATTTTGATTTGTTGATTTCTGTAAGATTTTCCTATTTTTTATTAACCCTCAATACCGAAATAATCCCGGGATCGACTAAGTATAATCCCAAAATCTTAGGATTAAAAATAAGGACCGGAATCGAATTCCCTAACTGCAACTTATGCTACTCAAAGTTATCAAAGATTGGATTGAGGTTTGAGTAGCATGAGTAGCAACAAATTTGCATGGTAGGACAGGTTTGAATCCTGCTCAGGGCTGATGTTTTCATGCTAAATTTAATAAAATCAGATATAAATAAATTTCAGACAAAATAAAAGCTCAACCACCTACCTCTAGATAAACTGCTTAATATTTTATTAATTAATTAGACTTATTGTAGCCTGATAAGAATCTGGCTGTATTGTTTGCTTCATAACATTTATCAGGTTAATTATATATAAAATTGTATATATATTTTTCTAAACAGATTATGCAAGTTATAATACAGTCGATCCCCCTATAACGCAATAGATACATTCCACTTTATAAGAATTTCGCATTGTAGGAATCCTCAAATACATGAGCCAATCACAACCCAGCAATTGTGCAGTTTACAGACTACGGCTGCTTAAAAGGTTTTCTTCTATAAAATTAATCAATTCTGGACTAATTTCACTCAACATTTCCAAAACACGTATAATTTTTTGGGAATAATCTATATAAACTATGCTATAAACAAAAAATTGTAGGATTACTTACTGAGTGTGCGCCGTTCGACCACGCCATTGCTTAAGCTTGTTTTCACCGCAGAGCAGCGCACCAAATGGCGGCCACGTTTTCTGATAAGTTATTTTTCTGCGAAAAATTTGTTGAACTTTGGAGACATCATTAATAGAAATAATTTTTGTGACCGTTGAATAAGAAATGTTTTTTCCACAAGAAATGTATAAAATTACAGTACTGTATTAGACTTACAGTACCTAATTTAGGCCTATATACTGTACAGACGATAGTAAATGCAACTTACCCGCCTAAACTCTCCGTAGCGTGTAAGTAGTTAGACTGCTCATCCACTATTGGTCCAGATTCAACCAATCCTGTCGCGATATGAGTCGGCGATGACGTTTTACCGCATTTTACAAGTCTCTTTTAGCGTCTTTATATGAATATGGTCGCAATTTTTTCACTGCGATATACGAATCCGCGTCATATGAACCCGCGTTTTAGGGGGGTCTACTGTATTTTAATAAAAATCTATAAAATGTAACATTAAAAAAACCTAATTTAAATCACAAACTAAACAAATTATCTGCCAACTCTGAAATTCTTTAATAAATAAAATCTATACATATAATCTATGTAAAATTCCTGTAATAAAATATGATTAAAACTAGAATGAGTAGATTATCATGCCAAATATAGGGTTTTTGCTTGAAAGTACCCAATTTGATTTGACTATAAGAAATTAACAGTTAAAGAAAGGTTCACCAAAGATTTTACAAATTTCATTGAAAAAAATCACCACATCTCTATGTGCATTCCAGCAGTCATAGTGACAATATCAAGGTGGTAGACAATTTTCTGCTATATACACCGCTGCATATCCTGTTTCACAGTGGTGATGGCTGCAGTGATGTGCTCCCAAAGATCCTGAAGGTCTCTGACCAAAGTTGCATAAACTATATCTTTCACATAATCCCACAGAAAGAAATCTAAGGGGAATCTTGAAAGATCTTGGCAGCCACACTATCAGGCATACCAGACCACAACCTGTGCTTTCTCCTGTGGCAAAGCAATGACTGGACAATAACGTACACAATTCAACTTCTGTGCCATTTTGCATTACTACAAAATCTCTATTTTTTAATTTCTGAAGTTAGACTATTTACAAAAACATATTAATATTTTTGTGTCTATCATTAAATCCTTTTCACACAACCACAGAAGAGGATTTAATGATAGACTCAAAAATGTTAATATATTTTGTAAATAGTCTAACTTCAAAAATTAAAATATTGAAGAATATACTGAATTAACATTGAACATTGTGAATTTATGCAAATGAAAATGATTTACTCGTAACTGCCACTAGAGGGATGAACCAGTTATAAAATTTGGCAAAGGACTTGATGGTTGGCGAGAAGATTCTTAAGTTTTTAATGTAAAGAACGTCGGATCCTACAATAAAAGGCTGGAATTTGATCATTTTTAAACATTGTAAATTTTTTACCTTTTATTATTTGCCTTTTAAAGAAGTTTTATCTTCTAACCAATATAACTGTGTCTTCTGTGGTTGTGTGAAAAGGATTTAATGATAGACTTGAAAATATTAGTATGTTTTTGTAAATAGTCTAACTTCAAAAATTAAAATATTGAAGAATATCCTGAGTTAACATTGAACATTGTAAAAAATCTCTATAAAACTTGATAAGTTTCTCACCAGACGCCACTTGTTGCTTTTATATATTCATTTTTTATGGAAAATTAAAATTGGGTACTTTCAAGCAGAGCACCCTGTATTAAAAATAAGTAAAATAAAATACTTTTAAATATTTATCTTGTTCTTTAATTACAATAGCAAAAAGAAAATGCAAAAAGTAGTCGTGGTCAAATATAATTTAAAAGTTTAAAATTATTATTATTTTTTTCATATACAGTGTTTGGCACAACATTTTGGTTCAACCATTACTCATAATAAAATCATACAGATAACAAGTGTAAATTTTGTTCATTATTACTATTAAGAGATTTCTTATTTAATTATTTAAAAGTAAAAAAAATGACTCAAACTTACCATCTCCCTTTAACGCATTAGATAGCATCTCTCGACATTTCAAACGTACTGTGTCTTTTGTATCTGAAGGAAAGGTAGTTTGTTTAGGAAGTGATTTTGAAGATGTAATTGATGAAAGCTTCTGTGAAGGACTGAATTCACTAGGACTACTCTTTTGACTGCCTGAACTGCTGCTACTTGGAGGAGAATCTGATTTTTCTTTATTATTACCATATCCATCGCCTTTTGGACTTGGTGAACCTATAATTTAAATTAATCTATATTTTAAAATGTATTATTATAAATTAAATTTAAATGAATATGTATTCTAAAAATAACTAGCAGGTAAACCCGACATTGCCCAGGAAAAAAATAAAAACGAACATTAATATTTTTTGTACTTCTAATCCTTCTATTGTATTATACTATTTGGTTTATATAAACTATAAAAGTTATCTTATGTAATGGTTTATCACACCAAATGAACAATCTAACACATTTAGAAATTTAGTCAAATTGTGTACAGTAGAGGAATAATTTTTAATTTAAAATGTGTTAGATTGATCACTCGGTGTGATAAACCCTTACGTAGGATAACCTTTGTAGTTATCTAAATCAAATACTATAATATAACAAACATTAAAATGAAAACATATAAAGAAATTGATTATTTTAGAAATTTATTAATTTATTTTATTGATTATTGACTACTATTGTCATGTTTACTGTGATACTTGGGTGTTATAAAATGGCACAATTTCATTGGTCAAGCAATTGAAAATACAATATATTAAATTTTTAAGATATTAGATATTTTTCTAATGTTAGTCATTACAAACTGTTTCATTCACAGCTGAATATCAAATGGTAATCTAACAATGAATCAAATTTCATGAAAAATAGAGCAAATATTTAAACCACTTAAAACATATTATGTGCTGGCTGATAATCTTGTATTATACAATTTTTATATTCACTAAATGCCACTAAATGCTGGGTCCAATAGGAAGAAGGGACTATTGTAGAAGGGGGAATTGAAGTTAATTCGACCAAAAGTAGTCGTTGACCTCCTCCCAGAAGCAAGGATGGTCAATGACTACTCATTGTATAGGCAAACTATTGCCCATTGTTCAATTCTGAATGCATCCACTGTAACAAACTTAACATTACTCTGCTAATTATTGGAGATAAAATCTATTCCTACAAAAACTTAATGCAGACCACACTTCACCTATGTTGAGCTTACCCACCCATAAGGTGCCCCACTATTTACTACTTTGCACAATGAAACACGACACTTGTCCACTTTTCAATTGGTCAATCCTTATAGATATTATTATAATAATTATCTACATAAGGCATTTCTTAATTGTTGAAGTTAAAATAAAACTATGAAAATAAAGGTATAATAAATTTAATTTTTAATATAATATAATAAAAATTAATATAATACTGAAATTCACATATTTTTTGGCCAATATTTCTGAAAAATATCATTGAAAAATCTTGAATCTTAATACTGAATTATTTAACAATATAGAGTGTTTTATTATAACAAAAAATAAAATGATAAATACTAGGAATAAATTAAATTATCATCACTATAAAAATTAAATGTAGATATTTAACTTACCAGAGAGAAGTTTTTTCCATGTCTTAATCAATGTTTTAGCCAATGAAATCACTTCCTCATCATTGCTGGACTTACGAAGGGAATTAACTGTCATACCAATTCTAGTTTTCTAAATATAAAATAATTAATAAGTCAAAATGAAATAATTTTATGTATTTCTATTGATTAAAATATTAAAACTGAAGAAATAGTAATATGATTATGTCCATTTTCAATATTTATCAAATATAAGTTAGAAGCTGTTTGTCATCAAATTAAGTTAATTAAATTCAACTATTATGTTACATCAACAACAATAATTAATATACAGTTGCAAAATACGATTATTGAAAGACATACAGCAATCAATTAGTCTCATTAAATTGGTAGAAAAATGACTGCTATATGTCTTTCAATTGAGGAGAGGTTTACAACACACTGCCCCTCTCTGAATACACCTCTGCTTTAACTGATATTTTGCATAAAATATTACATCTTAAGATTAAATAAATACATTTAAATATTTGGTTTTTTTAAATACAAACTAGAATATTCAGGCTAATAATAAGTCGCACAACTGTCTATCAGCATCACAGAAAATATGTTTACTTCACAAGTACTTTTGACAGTATATATAGTGATAGTCATGGTATATCACACTTATTTTTATAATTTTATATTTTGTTGATGTTGTCGAAACCGTGTTGTATTTGCTTATTGTGTACAGGCACAATGAAGTGACGTTTTTCTCAACACTGGGCTAGTTGAATCTTTTATTTAGTTAGAACGTTTTTTCCATACATCAACGTTTCGGGCATCAGCCCCTCTTCAGCTAACTAAANTTTCATACATGCGTTAATCAAGCCGAATAGTATGGCCAAATATTCAGCTATTCGGCCACGCTCCTGGCTGAATATTCGGTATTCAGCCTGAGGTCGAATATACTATTCGTTGCAACACTAATAATTATAGCAATAGAACGAATAAGTATTGTTCTTTGATCTTCCAAAGGTTTATGAACACAACTTTTTAAAAATACTTTGGTTTTTCCAATTTGCCATTCCATTTTAGAAAATTCAAGAGACTGCAATATATAACTAACTCCACGAGGATTGCTTGGATATTTGCTCTTTACTAAACTTCTCATCAAATTCTTATAATATCCCACGTTCTTAAATAACACAGTTGTGTTAAAACTTGTTCATCATCATAATTATTTGGCATTGTATTTGTATTAGGTTTTATATGTCAAACATACTTTTAGAACTTTTGGAAGTAATTTTCTTCACTGGCATTTGATTATTATATAAATAGTAATCTGTCACAAACTCTGACAATTAACTGGAGAACTGAATTTCACTGCAATATTAACTGTACTTTCAGTATCAGATTCAATTCCCTTTGATCTTCTGGAACTAAATCTATTTTATGTACTAAACAAAATACTTTTTTTCAGGAGACTTTTGAAGAATGGATTCTAAACATAACTGATAATAGTGCATGTCTTTTTCTAACTGATGTGATTTAACATCAAAAACATAAATAAGAACCTTCTAACTATATACCTAATTGTACTAGAATGCATTCTGAGGCTATTTGCTTTGCTCCTTCAAGATATGTGCACCATTTATTTCCCTGAAAAACATTATATTGTCCAAATAAACCAGTTATTGTAACCTGAACTGGAGTATGCATAGGTTTCAAAGTAAACAGATTAGTAGAAATTAGTTCCATGTTATGTTGGAGTTCAATAAAACAATGCTCTAAAGGTTCACAATAAGCTGTTGTGCTTCTCTTCCAAATCCTCCAGCATATCCTCTTACACCTTGAGATACTACTGTTCCTCTGCTTACTGTAGCAGCACTTGATTGTGGAATTCTAGGCAAAGGGTTGGTAGATAAACCATACTGGCTCCATAATCAAATGGATCAAAACTTGCTTGGCTACATATATATATATAAAGAAGTCTCCCTACTTCATAAACAACTATTAACAGTTATGACCCATATATATATATATATATATATATAAATAGTTATGACCCATATATATATATATATATAGGTCATAACAGTTGTTTATGAAGTAGGGAGACTTCTTTTCTTCTTACGTAATTGTAAAATACATGAAAAAAAATATATATTTTTCTCTCTCCTCTGACTTATGGATATTTTATAACTTCAAAGAAATTTTTAAAACATTGTATCAACAATGAATAAAAAAAATTAAAGTTAAAAAAGGTAAAAAGGAGATCAACTTGCAAAGAAAACTTTTATTTACAGGAGGATTTTATTTATTTAGGAGGTTTAATAATGTAAATAAAAGTTTTCTTTGCAAGTTGATCTCGTTTTTACTTTTTTCAACTTTAATCTTTTTTATTCATTGTTGATACAATGTTTTAAAAAATTTTTCTTTGAAGTTATCTATATAAAATATCCATAAGTCAGAGGAAAAAGAAAAATGTATTTTTTTGTGTATTTTCCAATTACATAAGAAGAATTTTATATTTGTTATTTATGTTCCATGCTTGTGTAGAAGAAGCAATTTGAAAATGTTCTATCTCTAGAATTCTAACATTCTGATCTTCATTTTGTCTGAAGAAGAGTTATATACTGTTGAAAATACTTGTGAAGTAACATATTTTCTGTAATGTCGATAGACACTTGTGTGACTTACTTTTATTATTAGTATTTGACATCTGTTGTTACTTATATTTTATTATTAATATTCAGGCTACTTCTCCACTTTATCTCCATTGTCTTTTGAGACTTTTCTGATTATGTGTAAAAATAAATAAATAAATAAATAAGTAAATCTTGGAGGGTCAAATTTGACATGATTCCAATACTTCCCCTTGTTATGAATACAAGCAGCCGGGAAAATAGAAGTTAAAGATTATTATCATTTTTAAATTGAAGACATAGTCGGTTGAAAATGAAATCATTTTTAAAAAATCAATTTTTCAAAAATATTTCCTCAAAATTGATGAAACCTTTATGGGTTAATTGTACATAAATAACTACCGTTTTTTTGCCTGGACCGCATTTAATCAGAGACTGGCAAAAAAACGGTGGTTATTTATGTACAATTAACCCATAAAGGTTTCATCAATTTTGAGGAAATATTTTTGAAAAATTGATTTTTTAAAAGTAATATAAAGAAAACGGAACCATGGATATATACATATCTATTACTTATAGCAATGAAATCATTGTTTATTCACTTTCAATGTTCCAGAATACAAACTTTTGATGACTGACCTTTCTCTGGCTACTTGGCTGTTCCAATTTTTAAATCTGTGTTTTTAATTAAATATTTTTTCTTTGTTTGTAAGAGAAGTTTTAATTTTGATGGTCAAGTACACTACAGAGAAAGGTCAGTTGTCAAAAGTTTGTACTATGGAACATTGAAAGTGAATAAATGGTGATTCCTTTTTTCAACAGACTGTCTTCAATTTAATTTTTAAACATAATCACCATCCAATAAAATTCTACAATTTAATTTATCATCATTTGTTTATTTTCTATTTAAAATGTTCAATAACAAAAATAAATAATTTTAATCTCTTAAGGAACTGCTATGGCAAATGAAATTAAAAACTGCTTTATATTAAAGCATAAAAATATCTACTTTTATAAACATTTAAAATTCAAATTATGTGTGTAGCGTCCTTGTAATCCAAAAAATAATTCTTGGTAGACAACCAGACAGCAATTGGTTAGGAATACATTACGGTTTATTTAAAACAATAGACCCCCCAATGGTTTAAACTAATAGAGAGTGCCTCCACGCATTAAAGATTGTTTAAAAGCACACCCCGTTGTACAGAATGTTAGGAATGGTTTAAATAACATTACGTGTCGGTATACTGTTACTCTGTGAACACCGGATAACACCAGTTGCCAGTTTTGCCATTTTATCTTTTGTCAGGAATAATACATATTAACTGAAAATGTAAGTGTTCATAGATACTCTGAAATTAATAATCTGTATTTTATTTTTTATATAAATGATGTGTTAAACAGCAATGTTCTATACATTTTTCATATTATAGAGAATAGTCATACACCAATGTGATAAAAATATAGTAACACAATTTTAAGATGTACCATTATATGACATGTAAGTTTTTTATGTTTTTTTTATGTTATTAGTAAATATGACGTAAAAAAGGGCCCCCCTTTATACGTCATATTTACCAAATGTCGTGAACCTTACTTTATTTTGTATTTTTAATAGAACTGAAGAGGGGTTGGAAACATAAACCAACCCGAAATGTATTTGAATAAAAAAAATTGTTTTAAATAAACCGTAATGTTTTCCTAACCAATTGCTGTTTGGTCGTCTACCAAGAATTATTTTTTGCATTACAAGGATGCTACACACAGAATTTGAACATATAGCAACCATACCTTCTACATTAAGAAGTATATTTAAAATTCACTTATAGGAAAAATTAATTTATAATATTTTAAAATTTTGTCATAAGCATTAAATCATTTAATTCAATTAAACATTTTAGAAAAATTTTACCATTTACCCAAATTTTACTTGATAAAGAAGGGGCATATCAATAATTAGTTATGCAAATGAGAAAACAATATATATTTGCATATTAAATGCATACTAATTTTGTAAAAACATTACAATGTACAACTTAAAATACATGATAATTTGTTATTTTAATGCCAAACAAGCCAATTGATATTTATACATATAATAATAAAATAAAGATATAAATTCAATAAAAAATATAATTCTTAATTTTTGATAATTGTAATGTCAGAAAATATGGTAAAGTACCTTATATCAATCCTAAAAATGCATTTAACCCATTTTTACCTGTCCATAATGGAATATTTCAGTTCAAAACAACAATCAGCAGTTATCACCAGCAGACTACTTAGTGAGTTATACACTATTAATAGATATTTTGGCTATACTGCACAACTGCACCAGTTCAAATCAACTTTATTGGTAATGAGCATTTAAACTCTTTTTTAACATTTAAAATGATTTTAAAAGAACATTATGATACAGCATTAAAATGAAAAGTGATATGTGCATAAGAACATGAAAGCAGAACTGCCAAACATTATCTATTTTATGGCATTTGTCCCCTTTTTCTAACTTTTTATTTAACAAACCTTAATAAAATTGAATATTTTAAAATTTCCCCTCCTAAATAAAATCTTAAAAATTCAATTTTTTAGCTCATGATGCATCAAAAAATCCTAGATGCATATCCTCAATTCTAGCATCCTAGAATTAAGGATATGCAAATTTAAAAAATTTCTACCAAAAATTTGTTTTTTGTTAAGTTAATCTCCAGTAAAAACGTGAAAGTATCAATTTTTTGTGAAATTTTTAACAAAAGTATCAACATAAAAATCTGCAATTGTAACATTAAATAAATTGATGAGATAAAGTGCTTTATGTATTTATTATTATAACATTCAGAAAATTATCATAAATTATTTTTGCATTTTAACAATTATTTTTATTAACAACCTATTTAAAATTATCATGTAAACACTAAAATAACATCACTTAATTATTTTAATGCATTAAAGAATAGACTCTAGGCTTTTATGTTTCAATCAACAATGTCATTTTATAACATAAAATGTTATAAAATAACATTGCATATTTAATTAAAATTAATGAAAATTTAAATGCATAAAAACTTCCTTAACAAGTCTATTTGTAGTCAAGAAAGTTAGATTGAAAACTTGGATACATTCCAAAGCACAATTTAATTACAGTAACATTTGGTTTTGTGACACATTTCAGTAGGACTTATCACACAAATTTACTGTTTAAAAAGCTCTTACTGAATGGCCATTCACTTTAATTAAGTGGTATTGGGAGCAATCGTCTATGTTAACAGCATAAAAATATTTTCAAGCACTATAATAATCTATATTGCATATCATAATTTATGTACACATGTACAGTAAAGTGTACAAAATATTGTATTGTGTTGTTGATATAAAGAAGTGAAACTGTTGCATACATCTTTTACAACATAATAAAAAAATAAGTTTAAATAAAGTCTGATAGAACATTGCAGAAAACGGGTCCAAGAAAAATCCATTTTATTAATTTTACAAGCAAAAAAACACCTTTAAACTTGTTTAATAATCTATAAATCAAGTAATTTAATTGAAAATCCAGAATTTATATTTTAAGTGATTTAAGTGGTTGTATATGTTTCTTCTACATACCCTCATGACATTTCCTAGACACAAAGGAAAAAGAATTATAAACATTTCAGATACATTCACTCAAATATAATTTTAATATGAGTAAAAATTTTATTCACTTATGTATTAAATAAAAGAAATTTGGTTTTGATTTTTATTTTTCAGATGAAAAAATATTATTTTTGCATTTAGATTCTTGAATTATTATAAAACTATTTTTATTTACGGTAATCAAAATTATTTGCATTTGAAAAGCTTCTTATATTTTAAAATTATATCAAATTATATTTTAAAATAGCTTCACCACACAACCATTAAAGTTAATATAATTATCTTAACACTCATCTGTAATTTGATCACATTCATTTATTGAATTATCTCTCAATAATAATTTTATATTTCTAATGTTAGATGAAAGATAGTGATTTAATCAAGCACTGTTTCATTTAAATATTTTCATACATTACATCAACAAATCTAAACATACATAAATAATTATACAAGCTAACTAAATACCAAATAATAATTGCTGTTATTAATTCATTTAATATTGAAAAATTACATAAGATATGTTAGTATATTCTGCATTAAAATATGCCATAATAAATACTCAATAACATCTTAAAAGTATCATGCAAGTACTTGAAAAAATAATTATATTTAGTAATCATATTTTTTTATAATTAGTTTAATGCAGTGTTTCACAAACTTTGGACCACCATCTCCTTTTAGTGCATATATTTCTTATATTTTTTTTTGTTTCAAAACAAAAATTCATTTGGAAAACCCCTACCAAACCCTTGCCTTTCAGTGCTCGAGTCTTCTACTGCTCTCAATGGGACAATAGTGCCCACTTTCAGAATCACTGGTTTAATAGATACCTAGTATTGATAGAATGATTTTGCCACTATAAGAGATCCAAACTTCAATCCAATCATTGCAATTTTTCGTAGTGATTTGTTTATATCAAGACTTTCTTCCAACTACTTATCCTTACAGACTAATTTCACTGCAAATAAAACACTCTTCTAATAAGCACAGTCAAAATAATATCAATTTATATGTTATAATGTAATCCAAAGCACACTGAAAGTGCCACAGAAAAATTCAACAATTTATTTTGTAATAAATAAATTTCATAATTCCTTAATTTTTACTATCAAAATTAAATATTAATATTTTCTTATATTATTAATATTGTATTAGTTTCACATTATTTATAATATTCAATATTTTTGCATTATTCATAAACTGGATATACTCATATGTACAGTACAATTGATTTTATTACATTTTAGCACAAATTCATGAAATATAAGAAGCATTTCTTTATATCAACTGTATGAGTTAAAAACAGGTCATTATTTTGACACACATATACATATCAACAAAATTATAATATAATTAACTTTACAGAATGCACTCTACTAATAAGTTTTTTTTTATTAATTAACTGAAGTGAAACATACCAGTAATAAAATTGTATACTGCCTAATAATACTCATGAAAATGGGTTAAACATTTAATAGAAGTCCATTAAATGAATTTCCACTAAAAGTAAACCTAATAAAATGTGTGTCTGCTCAAAACAGTTGCCAAAATAAACTATTATTTGAAGAGTTTTGCTAAATCAAAACCTGTCTCAAATGAAATCATTTAATTGAATACTACTGAAACAGAAATCACATAATGAAATTAATGTTATATCTCTATATAGTTTTGTCAAACAGATGTGAAGGAAAGTACATATATGATCAATAAGAATCAAAGTACTGTAAGGTCTCTTTTTATGCGGATTATTTTTATGCGATTTTGAAGTTGTGCGGTTTGTATTTCATCTAAAAATTTCTTGGACAAACATACATATAGGCTTGTTTAGGAAGCCCGCGTATAGACAGTCTCCAAAAATCATGGAACGCTCAAAGCTCACTCCATTTGTTCCACTGACATATAACGTTTATGGATGTAAAGGACAGCTAGATCTACCTTAATCGCTTTAGTTCCTAGCAATTTTTGATATAAATATAATTAAATATAAAAAATACTTAAAACTGAAAAAAAACGAAAGAAATGCGTTAATTTTGAAGAAAAAGCTTCAAAGTTTAACTTCCTTTGTCTCACCCTTCTGTGAAATTTAACACAGATAAGTCATTGTTTACACAGCTGGATGACCTTGAACACAGCTGGAGTTGGATTTCCCGGGGCATTTTCATAGACGTTGCAAGAGGACAAGGGTTTAAAGTAGGGTGAATACTAGTGGCCGTATATTTTTAAATATTTTTAAAAAATTCAAATTTTTATTGCGATTTCCGACCCCCTGACTTAATTAAACGTATATATAATAAAATATATTAATTAAAAAAAACTATTGGAAGTCGTTTTTGATATCAGAAAGTAGCTTTAAATAATTTTACCAACTCGTTTTGCTTTTATGCGATTTTAGAAAATTACGGAACGTATCCCTACTTTTTCAAGGCAAGTAAAGTCTTTTTTTATGCAAATTTTTTATATGCGCTTTTCTGTAGAACGTATCCACCGCATAAAACGAGTAACTTACAGAAATTAACCAGTGGAACCTGTTTAACGAATGCTGTAGTTAATGACCAAATCGGTTAATGAACTTTTATTTTGCAAAAATTCTGTCTCAGATAACGGACAGTGAATGCAAGTTTCTGTTATGTAATTTAACTATATGCAATTTATTGGTTTCATCTTTATCTAATTTGTAATAAAGCATATTACAAAAACTAGAGAACCTGAATAATTCATCTAACAAGTTATGGGCCCAGGCCACACTTCTAGATCATCATCAAATTAATATTCTAACAAAGTGAAGGTAAGCCTTTTTCTAGAATAATAAGTCATAACCCAATAGCTCCAATCAATTTTCAAGATGAATATACAATTGTTTCGAATAGAAAAGTTGGATAAAAGGCAATTATAATTGCTGGAAAATGCAAATGAAAATACTTTTAATACAAAATGACCTTGGAAATATGTTGAAGAAGCAACAGATGAATCTGATGAAGAATGGAACAAAAAAGACCAAAAGGCTTTAGCAATAATTATTTTAAGCATAAAATCATTAGAAATAATTCATGTAAAAAGATGTAGCACATCAAAGAAAGTGTGGGACAAACTAAAAAAAATACATCAGCCAAGAGAATCAATTATGAAAGTAAGTCTTACAAGACAATTACTTCAAATGAAAATGAAGCTGAATCAAAGTATGAAGGAATATTTAGATGTCTTCTTTGAAACACTTGATACATTGGCAGAAATTGACACGTTTCCATCGACTTTCTTTCCATTCTGATCCTTTGAGGACTTTCTGATATGAGAATTTTACAGTAGTAATTGAAAGCAGAGATCAACTTCCTGAACTCAACATATTAAAGGTGAAACTTCTAAAAGAGGAAAAGAAATGTGAGAGGGAAGAAGATATAACAAGTAAGAAGACAGCCTTTGTAGAACACTCAAATGAAAATAAAGGCAAAGATCAACTTAACTCTAAGAAAAAGAAGAAATTCTCTTTCAAGTGTTATACTTGTGGCAAACAAGGGCAAAAATCCTCTGATTGTTGATGAAACAAAAGGAAAAAACATAAAACATCTTCAAAAGAACCTAACAAAATAGCAACAGCAACTACATTTGAATCTTGTGAATCTTTATCTCAAACACTAAGAAAGGATGAATGGTGTT